AAAATTGGAGCCAAATCATAGGATAGACTGGGAAGTCACTGAGGTTCTCCTCAGGATCTGTGGCCTCCCCTAGTTTCTCTTCATTTGGATTCCTCAACAATGTTCCAGATTTGAGCCTTTCCCCTTTCACACCTTCTTCGTCCGATTTCGTTGAAAAGTCCTATCCTTTTGACCTCTTTGAAGACATTATCCCCTGATTTTTATCGAGAGTTTTCTTAGGTGACTTCGGTCATTTAAGATGTAATTAACTATAGGGGCTTGCCCTTATAGAGAGCTTTTCCGAGCCCAGCTTAAAATAAACCCTATTTAATTATTTGTATTAAATAGGGGAACTTGTCGGCAAATAAAACGGTTTCGCAGACCCAAACGGATGTCATATCTTTCTTAGTTTATTTGATCGAGCCTCACCCTCAAGTCTTGTGTTTATCCCTTGGGGTAGATACAGGATTTGAGGTTGAGTGCTCTTTCATTTAAACTGTGAAAAATATGAGGTCAGTTTGATTTCATATTTTTCTAAAATTATATATATATACGTAAATTAAAAAGTCCTTCCGAAGCGGGCGACGGGATTTCGATTCCGGCGACCGACAGCTTTTTACGGGCGACCCCCAAACATAATTTTCCCCTTTTAAGCGCCGACAAGATCAAACATATTTTCATTAAATTCTCCATCGCATGCTATTCTAATTTACATGATATAAGAATATCAACTTAACGAGAGAATCCAACAGCTGAATGCTTAAAAATATTTGTATTGAGCATGAAGAATGCACATAAAAGTTGGTTTTTGAAGTTCATTCTACTAAACAAAACTTATAATTACCAATCTCAATTTTTGGGTGGATTGCAGACCTGTTTCATTGATTTGCTTCTTAATGTTTTTAAGTGATCAAATTATGCAGAATACAAAAATCTTTTTTATTCAGTTGAAATATTTGATACATGTCAATAATGAGGAAACTAATCCTCAACAAAGCAGGAAAAGTGTCCACAACTATGCAAGTACAAATAATAACCTTCTTCTATTATTTACAATCTGATTTTATATTCCTTCTAGAACTTATACTAATTTTCTTATTTGCCATGTATCCGTCAGTTCCAACGCTAATTAAAATTAATCATCAACATTGGCATCCTGGTTATCATTTGTTTTATATGTCAATGCCAAATCCTTCCTTTTTACTAGGGTGTTTGTGGAGTATAAATCCATACTGGTATCTGATTACTTTCATCTGGTTAACGGAATATTGCAAATTGAATCTTTTTGCAAAGCATATTTTAAATTCCTAAGCAAGTAATTGAGGCCTAATAAGTTTCTTGTCAAATTTCAGTGCAATTTGGTCAATATAAGCTACTGCCCGTCTACAGAGGAAATTTCCAATGGGAAGAATTTAGTAAGTATTCTGTTCCTTTCCCGATTTATAGCCTCTCTTTTTTAACTCTCATTTTTGTTCTCTAGAACAATTTTTTTTCTGTAGAATTTTAAGCTTAAATGATGAATTACACTTTTTTGTACAGGTAATGGTAGTTTATAATTCTCTTGGATGGAATCGTACAGAGTACATTAGAGTTCCAGTAAGTACATGAAACTTTTTTTTTGAAACTGATCTTTATGATTTGATGCAAATAAATCTGAATCTAGTCTGCTAATTAATTGATAAATCACCGACCTCATTCTACACTTCTCAGGAATGCTGGCCATCATGCTAGTATCTTGTTCTTTTACCAGTTACTATAGAATAAACTAAACCTTTGGAGGAAAGACTGTTTTCTTTCATTATTCTCATGTAGGGTACATATATAGGGAAATATATCTAATCTAAATTTAAAAAGAAAATAATCCTGAAATTAAAACAAAGAAACATAAATATAAAGAGGATAAGCTAATATAGGGGCTTTCACAATTGTCTCCAATTAGATTCCCCAAGATTTAACTTGCCATATAACTTGTAACATTCTCCCTCAAGGTGGTTCATATATGTTGTAAAGGCCCAACATGGTATTCGACTCAATGAAGTTGCCTGGGGTTAGAGCTTTAGTGAAGACATCCGCTACTTGGAGATGAATTGGAATGTAGATTAAGTGAATAATTCCACTATTGACATTTTCAGAAATAAATCTCAATGTACTTGGTTTTGTCATGACACACATGATTCTTTGCATTACTAATGACGGCTTAGCTGTAGCTAAACATTTTTACGGAATTGACCGTCGAGTATCCCAACTCATTTTGTAACATTTGGATCTGCAGTCCTTCATAAATTTCTAAAGCAAGTGCTTGGTACTTCGATTTTGCACTATTTCTAGAGACCACTGCTTGCTTGTTGCTCGTCCCATGTGACAAGTTTTTTTCATATAAAGGAACAATAATATTTAGATGCGGATCTTTTGTTGGTGAGTTGTCTGGCCCAACAAGCATAATGTAAACCTCTACTTTTCTATTGTATGATTTCTTATACAATAACCCTCTATCAGGGGTATTCTTAAGCAACCTCAATATTCTGTAAAACATCTTCAAATGTTATTCATTTAGACTATTCATATATTGACTTATAATACTCACAGAGTAAGCGATATCAGGTCTGGTGTGTGATAGATAGATAAACTTATCTACTAATCTCTGATATCTACATTTTTCACCGATTTCTTTTCTCCCTTTGAATGTAACTTTTTGTTGAATTCTATAGGAGTCTCAAGAGGTTTACATCCTAACATGTCTGTCTCTTAATTTTAGTTGGTCCAAGATTTAATTTCTTTGGAATATCACAATTCTTGTCTTGGATTTTGTCATTTTCATATCCTAAAAGTATTATAACTCCTAGATCCTTGATTTCAAAATATGTGGCAAGAATCTTTTTTATCTTCTCATTCTCTTTTTCATTATCGCCTGTCATTATCTACATATACGAGCATAACTTTTTTACCTCTCTATCATCATCTATATATACAATGAATACAGGTTTCCAACTGGCATAAAAGAAGCAGTTGATATCGAAGTCAACCCAAATCATAATAAAAAAACAAATATTATTACTACAAAGCCACTAAGTGGTTACAACCCACACACAAAAGGGAAAATTAACAACTAACACAATACACGACTCAATTAGGGTTGTATTTTAATGGGGTGGCGGTGGAGTGGAGGTTTGGTTGTGGTTCGATGGCAGGGCTAATGTAGGGGAACATTAGAGGAAGGGCAGTAGAGGGAGCGGTTGGTTGTGCTGGCTAGCCAGGTGGCTAAGAAGGTGGACCGTTGAGGGAAGTGACAGGGAAATGAAAGCAGGGGAGATGTTTGGCTATGGTAGGTAGGAAGGTTGCTAGAGGGTGGCTAAGAACTAGTTTGAAAGGTTGGAATAATAACTAGGTCGTAGGGGAAGGGATTCATGGAAACTAGGCCAACAATATATGGTTGAAGAGGTGTCGACTGGTTGTTGAAAGGGTGGCAGTGGGACGGTAGCAAAATGGGAGGAGGCTGGGTGGTAGATGACTGTAGGAAAACAACGAGATGGTTATTTTCTGAGTGGCTGTAACAAATACGATGACGACGATAGCAGAGGGAAGGTCGAGGATGATCACCTTCTCAGATAAGATATAGTCGAAGCATTGCCAATCGTCGGATATAACCCTAGAAGGGAAAATCTGGACGCTAACGATTGACCTCACAAAAAACACGAAGCAAAACTCAAAACCTAAAAAAAAAGAAACACATATATAAGCCCTAGATAATTAGATGTGGGCTCCCATGTGGGAAAAAGGCGCCAAACCCTTTTGGAAGTACTGGTCCGCTCTCTCAGGATGCGCCTAGGCATGTCGGTCGCGAGATAATGCGGGAATCCCGCGTTGGGTCCCCACATGGGAGACATTTATGTCATTCTCTCGAGGTTGAGATAGCTTTAACCACATTTATTGAAACTCTTATCTCCTCGGGTTTGCCTAGTTGAAGAGCGAAAATAATGTACTCTCCCTCTAAAGTTCTGTGGGTGTTGTCATTTCAAAGCACATTCTGATAAAATAAGTATACATCCTTTTTCGGTACAAACTGAGTTAGAGATGCATGTGAATGGGTATCCTCACGAACCAAGCCTTCAAATCTATAATTGGTTTCTTTCGCTCCTCGTACCTGTCCAAGTGTTGTGGTAAACAAGCATGCAAAGAGGAATTAATTCCGAGATGAACTTTATAGCTGCCCGGACCACACCGAAGTATAACCACTCAAGAGAGGGCTCTTTTCTCTGGTAGGACTTGGATCCCATTGTAGGATTTTGTCCCCACCAATCTCCTAAGGCAATTTCAACATTATCTTTTATTCCTCTTGTTTGATCATTGTCCAAAGGAAAATATGTTCAGATTTTCATACCTATTTTATACTGTTTTTAATGATATTGCACTTTAAAGAAAAATATTTTTGATATTTTATTGCAGGAATGATGAATTAGGGTCAATGGAGTAAAAAGATGCAAAAAGGAGCGAATTTGGAGCGAAAAAGACCAAAATGTGGAAATTTGAACTAAGGGCGCTGACAACGCCATCCCATCGACGCCGTTGACGATGAGTTTTTCCCGAGGCTACAAGACAAAATTCTCTAGAAGTCCTCCGACGACGCCCTCGAGGCCGCCGACGGCGAGCTCGGTGGTTATGGCTCGGGGCGAGCTCGGTGGTTATGCCTACTCAAGCTTTGGATAAGACCAAATTTTGAAGGGATGCTTAGGTAACTCTTGGGAAAGCTCATCCACAACTTTAAAAGAAGATTTTGGCCAAAAATTGAGGGGGGTTTGGAAGAGAGTCTAGAGTACCTCGAGGTTAGAAAAGTTTCATTAGTGTTTGTTAGAGTGTAAAAAGTGTGAGGAATTCTTCGAGAGATTGTAAGAATGGAGGGAAAGTGAGAGATTTCTTCCTCCTTGCTACTTCGAAGAGGAACTTCGAGGAGTGTTCTTGGGGAAAAATTAGAGATAAGTTATTTACTTGTTGTAGTTTGTATGATTTTGATTTTATATATGATATGAATTCCGAGTTTGAATTCCGAGTTTTGTTGTGTTTTCTCCATGAAATCTGAGTAGTTTTCTTTGTCTTTCTTCTTGTCTCGAGATTTGTGAAATGGTGATTTGAATTGGTGAAGCGATGAAAATATTTAAGAAATTGTGATGATCTTTTCACTGCGATCTTAATTTACTTTCAATCTGGCCAATTGATTTGTTAAAATATGTTGAGTTTTACAACTAAAGTGAAGATTACATCCAAGATTCAGGGAGGTCAAAACCATTGGAAATTGGGCGCAAATAAATAGAGAAATAATATTATCGGGCGTAGAATTGGAGATTTTAGAGTGACAGATTAAAATCCTCAATTCGGTCCTATCGTTTGGGTGTTGAAGTGTAGATGTTAGCTCTCAGGCGAGGGGAACGTGGGAGCTCCAAAGTGCGCGCCGATATCCTCCCAGCCTAGCCGCAGATTCAGTAAACAAGCGTAGGATTAGTCAATGTTTTTTATGTCTGGACCAAAGGGTAAATAATAGGTATGCTCCTATTTGACACAATATAATTTGAACCAATTCATTTTATCCATTCACTATAATTTCTTGAAAAGGAGAAGGATGTTTTCTTATATATTGAATATCACATTTAAACTCTCATTATTATCATTAGTTATTTATTAGTTATTAAAATTATATATTTATTTTAATTGTCTATTAGTGACAGATAAGCAAATTGAACTTCGTTGTTGCGATTAAAGTATTGCTTTTCTAAAATCTTAGTTCGCAGTTCTAAATCACTTCCTGTGGGATCGATATCTAGGACTCCATTAAAGCTCTATATTACTTGAGCGATACATATACTTACGTTGATAAGTGTGACTTTACAATTATTGAATATTTATTACATCCATATTTATCTTATATTTTTAAGTATATATAAAGTCGTCGGTCAGCCATCTATAGATGGGTACACCGTTGAACTGAATTTAATACTCAAAGGACTCCATATGGTCTCCTAGAAGTAGCTCAAAAGCTTCTCATCTCTGATAGGTTAGATCTCCTTCAGTAGAGTCAACTCAGGAGTTTGGTTGTATATTTGAAATTTTTTAAATTCTCTTATCTGAGGTTGTCTTGTGTCTGGGAATTGCTCCTCAAATTCGGGGTCATTTTGGATTTTCAATGTATGTCCTGCTGATGCATCTCAATTCTTGCAAAAATATTGCTCGAGACACCATCTCATCATCTGTATGAACACACATTACCTCAGACTCGCTAACTTCTAGCGCAACCAAGGTTAATTCAACTGAAGTCTCTCTCGTGAGTTCAGTTGGAATCGTTGTAGTCTCCTTTTCGGCCGTTGGAAGTTGAAAATCCTCTAAAAAATCTCCATCCTCTCCTGGATCACTGTTTATTACTTCAACTGCTCTCTGATTAGTGAAAGAGATCATTCTTCTAATTGCACAATTTAATTCAATATGCCCAAATTTGTGTCACTTGAAACACTTTGTTGCTTGGATATATTTGGGAATGTGAATTGGTTTTATCTGTTCTTCACTCTGATTTAAGGTCTCTTTGGAGCAGCTGCAACTTAATAATAAGTTGT